GGAAAATGTATTCAACATGTTCACCTCCTTGAGGTCTAGTCCCATTTTAGGCAGAAAGGCCTGGATGACCTGGGGCCAGCCCTTCTCTCTCAGCCCTGGGAAGAAGGCAATGGCAAACCACTTCTCAAACCAAACTTGCCAATAAAACTCCAGGCAGTCTCCAAAAGTTGGACACAATTGAATAGAAGAAGAAAAAAAGACTACTGTATACAAAAATATAATTAAATAACAGAGCACAAATTGAATGGCAACATTCGTGTTATTCATATGATATCACATTGCTGGATGGGTGACAACAAAAATAATCTTACACAAACTTTCAATGTAATTTCAGCTTTTAGCAACTGGACACTGCTATTTTTTTTTTAAATGATGAAGTTAAGCCACAATCCCATAAAAATCAATGGCCATGACCAAAGATTAAAAACACAGGGCTGTTTTATTTTTGAATTTCAGTGAAAGAGCACACCATACTGTACAAAGGTTAGTAGCAGAAAAGGACCAATATTTAAACATGGAACAGTTATATTTGTAAGACCACTTCTTTTTCGATAAATGGGGCAGAGAATACCCCCTGCTTTGTTCCCCTTAAAACACAAACCATTAACAGGGAGATTGGAGTGCGTGTGATTATTTCATTTTATTTGACAATGGACACTTTAGACACAATATAAGGTCTCCGCTGTTTCTTTAAATTACGCATTGCTGTATTTCTGCCACAAAAATAGAATGAGAGCCAAGCTGTTACATTGAGCAAGTATATGAATTGGCCAGCACACAGATGTTTTAGAAACAAAGATTGCTTCGTTAGTTGTAATTCCATCTTATTTTTTTTCCCCCGAAGTCCCAAGCAAGGTTCATATCACATTGTTACATGTCTATGGAGATTCTCAGTCATCCAGGTCAGGGGTCCCCAACCACCGGTCCGTGGAACAAGTCCTACCGGGCCGCTGGTTTGCTGGGCGCCGCCATCTTTTTTTGATGAAAAAGTGCTTCCAGTGAGCTTTTCCGGTTAGAAAGCTCACCGGAAGCACTTTTTCATCAAAAAAAGATGGTGGCGCCCAGCTGATGCCGGTACCGGGCCGCGGCGCCCAGCTGATGCCGGTACCGGGCCGCGGCATAAAAAAGGTTGGGGATCACTGATCCAGGTCATGGTTGTCCCAAAGGGGCTTTTTTTCAAAAGGCAACTGGACTTTTTTCTGTGTGTTTTTTTCCCCTTTTCTTTGAAAACATTTTGCTTTTCATCCGAGAAACTTCTTCAGTTCTTAACACAAATGCAATGAAGATTTGGTGCAATGGAGAAGGAGGTGCAATAGAGAAGGGGGTGCAATTGTTGTAGTTTACCGGCAGCCGGTGCAGGCGGCAGTGGAATTGGACAGAGGGGAAGAACGGGGACCAGTCAGGGAGTCTGGAGAGGACTCAGACGAGGGCCCTGCATCCGCTACAGAGATGGGGCCAGGACCATCTGGGAGTGGGATGCTGACTTTGGAGCCTTTGGAGTCTGGCAGCAGCGAGGCCGAGGAATAAGGGGAGCCTGTTCTCAGTGCATGTGTGCGCAGAGCTGCTAGAAGGCGAGAGCAGCTGAAACAAAGGGGTGACTCGAGAGTAAGGCTGGGAGGTGATTGCCACTCCCATAAGGGATAAAAGTCAGGCCAAGATGATGAAACCTTTGCAGGGAGCAAAGTAGTTTCATCGGTTCCAAGTCATCCTTGAAGCTCTTTTGTACTTCGGTTGGTTTCTTTTCTGGTTCATTTGATGCTTCTGTTTTTGGCAGCACTTCACAGAACTGAAAGGTGTATGCTTATCTTGGGGGACTGTTTGAAATTAATTCTGGCTGGGAATGAAAACAATTCCCAGCGTTGCAATAAAAGAGGTTTTGCTTTTAAAACAAGTTTGTGAATAATTATGGTTTACAAAAGCCTGGGTCAGAACAGCAATGGAGAAGGGGGTGTAATGGAGAAAGGGGAGCAATGGAGAAGGGGGTGCAATGGAGAAAGGGGGGCAATGGAGAAAGGGGTACAATGGAGACTAGCCATCTTGGGGTGCACCCAGGAAATGTGTCTAAAAAGACTACACTCACTGGCTGCTGGATCTCATAAGGATTGCCCATAAAAAAGCAGCAGTATGAATGCTGAAAAATATAATAGCTGAAATGACACATTATGGAATATGGGTAGTTCTTGCCTTGCAACCATTCATTTAGTGATGATTCGAAGTTACAACAGCACTGAAAAAAGTGACTTATGAGTTATAACCATTTTTTACATTTATGACCATTGCAGCACCCCTTTGGTCATGTGATAAAAATTTGGACGCTTGGCAACTGGCTCATATTTATGACGGCTGCACGGTCCCAGGGTCACGTGATCACCTTCTGACAAGCAAAGAGAGAAGCCAGGTTCACTTAACAACCGTGCTCCTAACTTAATAACGGCAGGAATTCATTTAACAATGGTGGCGAGAAATGTTGCAAAATGGAACAGAATTCACTCAGCAACTGTCTCACTTAGCAGCAGAAATGTTGGGCTCAAATGTGGTCGTACATCAAGGACTACCTATGCTAATAGAAGTGGTTGGCAAAGGATGAAAGAAGTTGTTGTAAAGGTCTCTTAACAGAAATGTAGTCAACGAACCGGTAGTAACACCAGTTGAATTCCACCCCTGCCCATGGCCACGTGCTCAAAATTCAGACCCTTGGCAACCGATTCCTATTTACGATGGTTGTGGTGTGCCTGGGTGTGTATGTGTCACACAATCCCCTTTTGTGACTTTCTGATGAGCAAAGTCAATGGGGAAGCCAGATTCCTTTGACAACGGTGTTATTCAGTTATCCTCTGCAGGGATTCACTTAATGACCGTGACAAGAAATGTAATAAAATGGGCCAAAACTCACTCAACAAATGTCTGGCTTTGCATTTTGGGCTCAATTGCGGTCATAACTCATGGACTACCTGTAATGACTATTAATAACTTGTTTTCACTGGTTTTTTTTTTTTTTTGCTTTATTTTGGTGACTTAGGTCTTAAATATAATCCTCTGTTCTATGGAGGATCCAGAATATTGTCTCCCTGCCCCAGCGCTCGCTGTGATATCAGTTGTATCAGAAGCAATTATCATTAATTCACATTAACTAGATGCCTCTCCTCTAAGCTAGAGTCAATACTCTGGGAGCAAAATTTGCTTTATAGCAGACATCTGGATGCTTGTTCCTTAATTAAGCAATTAACTCATTCACTCTATACTTTATCTCTCTAGTCTAGCAAACATTCACAGTTCCCTTCCCTATGAAATTCCTATTAACAGATAACAGATAATCAGAGTTGGAAGGGACCTTGTAGGTCATCTAGTCCAACCCCCATCCAAGCGGGAGACCCTACACTATTTTTGACAAATGGAAGTCCAATCTTCTTGAAAGCCTCAAGTGATGACACTCCCACAACTTCTGAGGGCAACTTCTGTTCCATGGGTTGATTGTTCTCACTGTCAGAAAATTTCTCCTTATTTCCAGGTTGAATCTCTCCTTGTTCAGTTTCCATCCATTGTTCCTTGTGTGGCCTTCAGGTGCTTTAGAAAATAGCTTGACCCCTTCCTCCTCTCGGTAGCAGCCCCTCAAATATTGGAAGACTGCTATCCTGTCTCCCCTGGTCCTTCTCTTCCCTAGACTAGCCAGGCCCAGTTTCTGCAACTGTTCGTTGTATGTTTTAGCCTCCAGTCCCTTAATCATCCTGGTTGGTCTTCTTTTTAGGCATTGTATATTACATCTCTGTCAGGGAAGTTCGATCAAGAAACAGAGCCCTGGTGCAGAAAAATGAAACCTACACAGGTAGTCCTTGACTTACAACATTTCATTGAGTGACTGTTCAAAGTTACAACGGCAGTGGAAAAAAATTGACCGATGACTGTTTTTCACACTTAGAAACGATTGCAGCATCTCCATAGTTACATGACCGGAATACCTGGCAACTGGCTCATATTGATGGCTATTTTTCTCAGAGGTGGGATTCAGCAGGTTCTGACCAGTTCTGGAGAACCAATAGCAGAAATTTTAAGTAGTTCGGAGAATACCTCCTCTGACTGGCCCCGCCCCCATCTATTCTCTGCCTCCCAAGTCCCAGCTGATTGGCTGGCTCTTCTTTGGTTACCCTGCATAGGATGTCAACTCATAAAACATTCCTATTCCTGTTTTAGGAGTTGCCATAAAAAAGGACGGGGAGGAGGGAAATCTGGAAGAGCAGTGCAGCAGTTTGGAGGGGAGAGTACATTCCAACTCTTATCTTTAAAAGATTGTAACTGAAATACCAGAGTTTTTGCCCGGGAATATATTTAATTGGAGAACGTGAATGATGACACCCAGCCTGTGGATGGTCTCAATTGGAGAATCTGATTTATGACACACCCAGGGGGAAGGGGGAAACAGGGTCACAGGTGACTGTAAATTACATATGTCAGAGTTGGCTTCATACAGGGCAGTGCTAGTATGTCGTGTCTAATAAATCCTTTGCACTTTTTTGAAGTTTGGCTCGAGAATCATGATTTAATTAGAGTGGTTGCTGGAATCCTGACACAGGAGAACAGAGCTGAACAGAGCAGGTTAGTGGGGTGGGGAGGGAATGGAGATTTTACAGTATCCTTCCCCTGCCATGCCCACCAAGCCACGCCCACAGAACTGCGGCCCTGAAAAGGTGACTTATGACCATTTTTCTCACCTACGACCATTGCAGCATCCCCGTGGCCACATAGCCAAAATTCAGATACTTGGCAATGGATTCATATTTATGATGGTTGCCGTGTCCCAGGGGGGGCTCACGCAATCCCCTTTTACAACCTTCTGACAAGCAAAGTCAATGGGGGAAGCCAGATTCACTTCACAAACCGGGTTACTAACTTCACATTGGCAGCGATTCGGTTAACCACGATGGCAGGAAAGGCCGTAATATCACTTAACAATGGTGACAAAATAGGTCATAAAATGGGGCAAAATTCACTGCACAAATGTCTTTCTCGGCAACAGAAAATTTGGGCTCCATTGTGCTCATAAGTCAAGGATTACCTGTACCTAAAACCACAACCCTATTCTTTCCTCCAAAAATGAAATCTTGCTCATGCTTCGCCTCCTCCCTACATTGTCAAGATAACTAGGACAAGTGATCTTAATCTCCTTGCTACACTGGGAAACCCAATGAGAACAGTAAGAGAATTGTAGGAGATGAACAGGCTGAGACTGAGGGAGGAGTCAAGCGTGCCATAAGTCACAAGTCCCTGCGTGCCTGCAAGAGATCTAAGCCCAGCCCGCCTCGAATGCCTTCTTATCTCCCACTCATTTCCCTTGACAGTCAGTTGTTCAGATTCTTGTAGACAGTTTAACTTTGCAATAAATATTTATACTTGTTTGAATTGCCTGAATCTCCTGATTGCCCTGGTGGTTGGCAAGAGGCATTCAAGCTTGGCCAACGTCGACTTCATAGATGGGAAAGCTTCCTGGAGAACCGCAACAGGCAACTTCTATGCTGGATCAAGATGACAAAACAAGGAGACATAACTCACAAAAAGCCAGAGGCCAAGGCAGGAACATCACCTCAATGTTAACCATGGACACATATTCATTCCAATGGACAGCAATCAGCTAAACATGTTCATGCGGCGGTGAAGTTGGAAGTCATGTCTGAAAGCAGGACAGACCCCTTTCACAAATTCTGTTTCCTGTCTTGCTGGAACCTTTTTTTTTTTCTTCCTTTCTTTTCTTCTTGAGAATCCCGATGTCTCAATAGGTGGTTTCTCTGGTGACCTGGCTAGAAAAAGTATGGTTACTAGAGATGCTGTTGGATTTTCTGTTGAACTTGGTTCTCTTCTTCTTCTTTTTCCATGGCAGGCATATGGAAACGAAAGTAGAAAAGAAGATCTGGCGGAAGTTGGTGGAGACCAAGTTGTAGAGGACCGGGTTAATGGCTGAGCTAACGTAGAAGAGGATGTTGGTCAGCATGTAGAAATAGTGATAGAAGTCGTAAAGGAAGCTGAGCGGAAAGAAAAAAGGGAAGATATTCTCAGTGGAGTACAAGTGAAAAATACACAAGTGGCTTGCCCTTATTGTAAAGTGTAAACACAGACCAGTTCCAAGAACCACCAAGAACACTCTAGCACTGATGAAGTTGCCGAGTTGGGTAATGAAACGGCTGCAAGAAAACCTCCAAGCTCAGAGAGCAGCAAGAACCTCATAGCTGTCCTCCTCCTCCTCCTCCTCCTCCTCCTCCTCCTCCTCCTCC